TGATTACTGGAACTTTAGTTTTCAGAAGCAAACGGCAACTAAGGATTTTTGAATGTTTCATGATAGCTGCCTTCAAATAATTGGAGTTTTGCAAACTGTGTTAAAATTGCTCCTTACTCTGTAAGTTCTTCAGATGAATATGGACAGTTTTACATGGACTTCCTTGTATGTACGTAAAATAAGTACATGTTAAAAATTTCTGCAATACTTTTATGAATTTAAGCAATTTTTAAATATTGTTAAAATGTTTTATTGACTACAAAGTATTGTAAATATAAATCGATCCATCTTCAAATGGGACAATATTGTAAACTTTGCCTGTTTAGTGATACAGATAAAATGTTTTTGATATACAGGAATGTTAAAGGTCTACTGACTTTCTACTGGTGCTGAATAGCATTAAGTTTGGTTTCTCCTCCCTTCCCTTTTCTCTCTTTCAAACAATAATTCTCTAAAGGTGGGGGGAGAAAGAGTTACCTGTGCATTCACTAATTGTACACTAATCGTAATGAACATTTTTTGAAAAATATACATTTGTTGTATAATGCATGTTTATTTTTAGCGTTGTGTTATTGCATCTGGTGTTAATAAAATGAACAAATTACTCTAATGGAGGCAATTAAAGAAACTGAAATGTTCTGCTAATAACCAAAATTTGTAGGCTTTTTTGTATATAAGTACTGACTTTGTATTATTTGAAATGAATATAGCAATAATAGTTTATAATGAAGTGATTTGGCATTTGATATGGTTTGTTGTACAATACAATCTTTGTAGTAATTTTTTTTCTCTCTATGGCTCGCAAGGTGCTAGATAAGCATCTACAGTTCAGTGACATGCACATTTGAGAGGGTATTTTATTAGAGCTGTGTTGGGCAAGTCCTTATGACACAAAGATATCTGAAATACATTCCCACTATAACAATGTCTGCCTTTATTAATAACTTTTCTGATGGTGCTACTAAGTTTTAAATACTTAAATTACGTTCTGACATCTCAACTGTCTTTTATTTAACAGTAGTATAGTAGTCAGCTAGTGGCTAAATTGTGAGTATCAGTTGAGGAAGGGAGATACACAGAATTTCCCTTGGTTCACAATGAGGAAGGTCAGCTGCTCTTAGTGTATACGCATTTGGATGTTTCTGTCACTAGTGAAAAATACCTGTCTTGCTGCTGCTTTTGTGATGAGCAAAGCAGAAATATCCTGGCAGAAATAACCACTTTATTTATTTTTAATAGTAGAACCTGACTATTTAAGGAGGTTTGAATTTGCTTTGTTCTTTGAGGAAAACAGGTGGCGCAGGAATGAAATCCTGTGGTATTTGCATCTAAGTTTATCAAGCAACAGGGAAAATTAAGAGAACATTAAATTCATTTCTCTCCCCTAATTTGTATTGCCCACCGCAGCCCACATGTGGTCTGGTACCCCTCTCAGAACTGCAGCTGTTTAACATCTCCAAGTCCCAAAGGAATGTGTTGTAAGAAAATAATGACCCAGACATGTCCTGTAAGCATATGAAGTTCATATTTGCACTTGCAGACCTTCACAGTTGCAGTTGCTCTCTGAACAACACATGTAGTCTTGGATGTTTTGGACAACTGCATGTGTGTTGCATAGCACACTCCCCCTCCTCCCACATATTTCTATTTACTGGATGGGAATACGGACTCATATACATAATTCAGTGTCATTTGATGCAGTAGCAGCTACAGTGTTCCATCTCGCCCCTCTTCTGTTTGAATGAAGGCTTCATCTTCCTGTAGTGATGGTGACCTCTGCTTTATGCAGGTGTCCGACAGCAGCTTGAAAGAGAATTATGCTGCTTTACAGAATGAGAGATAAAAATTAAGGTCTTAACATTCCTTTAGATAGCTTCCAGTCTCATACTCCCTGCAGGCAGTAGCTGCTGCTGTTACTTCACAAAGCTCTCAGCAATATTATTAGGAGGTCACTGCATAAAATGAGCATCAGAACTCTTGTTTGCATGTAGTCTATATAAAGAAATTCTGTGGTTTATGTTTGGATCTTCCATCAAAATCAAGCTTTCTGATCCCACAAATCTAGCAGTGGCTGCTACTTGCAAGAACTCACATTTTACTGTGGAAATCACCGGGCTTTGCTGCAGAGCCAAGAGATTCACTGTGGAAAACAAAACACCCTTCATTCCAAGTCAGTCTTCTTTGCACAGTCCTGACCAGGTGTGGTGTTTGGATAACCAAGCTTCTTGAGTTGGTCAAGGGGAATAGGAATCATTTAGGCAGAGTCAGCACACTTGCTGCCTGGCTAGCCTACCTTCTGCTCAGCTGAACTGACCTGCTGCAGAGTTTGTGCTAGCACCAAGTCTTTTATTTTTGGCTTTTTAGAACAGCAAAGCAAAATACAGTATCATTTGAGTCTTCCTGGCAAGGCAAGCTGCAGTGTAAGAGAGAAATGATCAGTAAACAGAGGCAGGGAAACAGAAAACATAGCATTGAATCACAAAGTAAAAAATTCCTGTGGCATGTGCTATGTTTGTATTTACCAGTGTTCACACTTACTATCTTTCAACCACAAGATCTAGAAATACGTAATTCAGGAGCAAGAAGTGAATTTTGCATTTTTACAGCAATACAATAAATGTAGACTAGAAAAAACTATCTTGAAGACCTCAGCTTATTTTTAGACTCACAGAATGGTTTGGGTTGGAAAGGACCTTAAAGATCACTTAGATCCAACCCCCTGCCATTGAGAGGCACACCTTCCACTACACCAGGTTGCTCTAAGCCCTATCCCGCATGGCCTTGAACACTGCCAGGTCTGGGGCATCCACAACTTCTCTGGGCAACCTGTTCCAGTGTCTCACCACCCTCATGGCAAAGAATTTCTTCCTAATGTCTAATCTGAATCTACCCTATTTCATTTTAAAGCCATTCTCCCTTGTCCTGTGACTACATGCCCTTGAAAAAAGTCCCTCTGCAGCTTTCTTGTAGGCAAGGTACTGGAAGGGGGCTATAAGGTCTCCCCAGAGCCTTCTCTTTTCCAGGCTAAACAGCCCCAGTTCTCAGTATGTCTTCATAGGAGAGGTGCTCCAGCCCTCTGATCATCTTCATGGCCCTCTGGACTTGAGTAGGTCCATGTCCTTCCTATGATGGGGACACCAGAGCTGAATGGATTTCTCCGGGTGGGGTCTCATGAGAGCAGAGTAGAGGGGTGGAATCGCCTTTCAACCTGCTGATCATGCTCCTTTTTGATGCAGCCCAGGACATGGGTTTCCAGGCTGTGAGCACACACTGCTGGCTCATGTTGAGCTTCTCATCAATTAACATGCCCAAGGCCTTCTCTTAGGGCTGTTCTCAGTCAGTCTCTCCAACCTGTAGTTGTGCCTGGGATTGCTCTGACCCAGGTGTAGGACCTTGCACTTGTCATGTTTAAACTTCATAATGTTGGCATCAGCCCACCTCACAAGCATGTCAAGGTCCCTCTGGATGGCATTCCTTCCCTCCAGCGTATCAACCAAACCACACAGCTTGGTGTCATCGGCAAACTTGCTGAGGGCACACTCAATCCCACTGTCCATGTCACCAGCAAGGATGTTGAACAAGACCGGTCCCAACACCGATCCCTGAGGGACACCACTCATTACTGGTCTCCAGCCAGACATTGAGCCATTTACCACAATTCTTTGTGTGCGGCCATCCAGCCAGTTCTTTATCCACTGAGTGGTCCATCCATCAAATTGATGTCTCTCCAATTTAGAGACAAAGATGTCATGCAGGATGGTGTGGAACAGTTCCTAGTTAATCTTACATTGCTATTTCATAACATTTGAGAGTATATATAAGCATTATCTTTTGGACTGTGTTAAGCTGTTTGGGAACAGATTAGTATTACTTGGTATCTGCAGACAGCTTGATATGCGTGTTTTTAAGGTAAGGATTTCAGGACGGTTTTTAGTGTATTGAGCACGTAAGTTCTTGAAGTTGGCACAGATGTTTGTTTTTTTCTTGCTGCTTTTGGCAGGGGATGTATTTTTTCTGCATGAACCACCAAAATTCCTCTTTCTTCTTTCTGAAACAGAGGCACAGTATCTTGCTGGCAGAATAAAGAAAGGGGTTTCCTATTGTTTCTGGTCTCTAATGTCCAATTAACCATGCTATAAAAAGCTGATTGAGAAAATGTTACACGTAAAGCAGGGAGTTAAATTCAGTCCCTTTCGGTGTGTAGGCAGTGCCAGATGTAGTGCAATAAACTCAAGGGAGTGTTGCTGCTGTTAATTTACCAAGGACGTTCGCTTTCTTAAACTCTAGATGTGAACACAAAATGCTGTTTTGGACTCCAAGAAGGGCAGAATGAAAGCTACCTTCTGCAGCTTAGTATCTGTGGACAGAGTGTTTTAAATCCTGTTTTATGGAAGAACAAGCGTAGCTGGGGAAGTCAGAAGTGACAAAAAGCAAATGTTTCCGTATTAAAAACAGTAACTGGAGAAAATTAATTGCAGCTCCAGCCCATGATCACTGGTGTTACTTTTTCCAGGGGCAACTGGGAAGACTTGGTCTAACTGTTCTGGGTCAGCTTTTGGGTTTGGTTGCTGCTTTCTTCCTGGGAGGGTGATGATGCCTGTTGGAGTGCAGAAAAGCCACTAGCTGGGGCATAGGCCAGAAAGTTTATTATTAAGTTACTGCTATTCAAGTGATTTTCTGGTAACTTTGATTATATTGAAATAATTACAGTATGTAAATAATTCTCTGGTAACTTTGTATTTAAATGATTACAGTATTTATTTCCTCGTAACTTTTTTCAACAATGATTTTAATTTTCATTTTATATCTATATGCACACGTTTGGGCAAAAAAAAAAGGTGCTTTCAGCCATAAACTATTGCACGGAAGAGACGAAGACGCCTTTGTTGCGGGTTTTGGGGGTGGCGGGAGTGGGGAGGAAGAGGAGAGTTACAGCTTATTTCTCGAGCACTTCCAGGAGCCAGGAACTGCTTCCATCAAGCACTTGGATCCACAGGCTCCGTTCCGCTCCGTTCATGAGAGACGGAGCGCGGCGCGGGGGTGTCTGGTGTCCCACGCTGCTAGAAACCATACTGCCCACAGCCGCCGCCATCATCTCAACCGCCTTTCCCCCCACCACTCCCTCAGGCGGGCGAGCCCCGCCTCCTGCTTCCGCATGCGCATCGCGCCTGCGCCGTGCCCTCGTCGTCCCCCTGCCCCGGGTGTCTTGTGTCGGCGGGGCTATGGCTCTGCGAATGCTGCGCGGAGTGCCCCGGGTAGCGAGTAAGAGGCGGGCGGAGGGCGGGAGGGAGGGAGGGGACGGCCTTTGCCGTTGACGGGGTACTCAGCCTCTCCTTGCCTTCGTCACGCAGGGAGTTAGAGCGAGAGACTGGGGGGTGGTTACCGGCAGCGACTGTTGTCGCTGGGGCTGCTGAAGGGTGCCTAAGATGGCGGCGGCTGAGGGGGGACGTGCCCGACCCCCGCTTCTTCAGCCCACAGCTCCCTCCCCCTCTTACTGTTTTTTTTCTACAGGATTCCTGTTTGGGGGTGGTTTTTTTTTGGTAATTCCAGATACTGATATTCTCCCCGATACTGCAAATCTGCTGCTCTCCGGCCTCGTTGTTCTGAAGGTTTTTTTCGCCTATCGTTGCTACAAACTTAAACGCTAGTAAAATACTAACGCGTGATATAGTATTTGTAGACTAGCTGGAGGGAACTTAACTGAGGCTTTGGAAGTTGGTCTGTGTCCTTTATGTGAGGAAATAGGTGATTGTTTATGGAGAAACCCAGGCTGGAGGGCAAATAAGATAGCCTGTAGCCTGCCTAAGACTGAATGTCCCACATGCACACACATCTTAGGCTGTTCCAGAGGGCTACGGGTCAGACCACTTCTCCATCAGAAGCTGAAACTTCTGTGATCTCTACCGATGCAGTATTCCTGAAGTAGGCAGGAGGGGTGTGCAGAATGTTCGATGTCTTTATAGGCTCTTTGGCCATCAGGTTCATGGCAGGATTTGGCTGGTGCTCCTCACTTCATCCCAAGCATGCCCCGAGTGCCCAGCTCCTGCCACAGGGATGGCTTTGTTTTGATAAATTGTGGTCCGAGGACCACTTGGAAAAACTGGATATTACAGGTGTTGGTTGTGCAGCAGCTTTAAAGACCCGTGGTTTTCAACTTCTTTTTAAATTCAGGCATATAATTAATAAATTGGTTGAGTTTGTGATAGCTCATAAAGGATGAAGGAGTCAACGATCTGCTTATAGAATGCTGTTTACTGACAGAGTTGATTGTTCCTCTCGTCTTTTTCAGAGGTACTTAATGCTGAACTTCTGTCACCTCTGTCAAGAAAAATTATTTCGGTCACCAATATCAAGCATTACAAATAGGAAAATGGTTTTTGCTGCTTCTATGTTGACTGAGATAATCAGTTTCATATCAGTACCTTAATCTTTTATTTGAATTTGTGCTAGAATATCAGCTATAGTTTAATTTTGTAGCTAGCTTCTCTTTCAGCTTGCTTGGCAAGAGTAGAAAGATCCCATGTTTGTGGAAGGAGTAGGTTCCTCACTGTTGATAGTCCATTATGTCATGCTTAAGGCAAGAAAAAAAGTTACTCCTTCTGGGGATTGGCAGCAGTTGGCAGCATAGTACTGTTTATGTGACTGTAGGGTTTAACCTTAAAGCTTTGGTATCTTGAGATGAATGAATATGCTGATTGTGGGAATACAAGTGGATTGTTAGTGGGTGTGTATATATAGGTGAGTCAGATCCACACTGCTTGAGAAGGTTTCCTGATACGATCTCTTCAGCAAGGTAGAATAATAGTTCTTGCAAGTGCTTTGTGCCAAGGCTGGTACAGGGAGCATTTCTGTTTAAGTCTTCCTTCTTAAGTCAGACCTCCTTTAGGCACTTCTGCGTAGCCGAAATACTTTCAGAGGGTAGTTTATGCTCACTGCGGACATTTGGCTTTTTAACCAAATGGAGAAATAGATGTCATTTTGAGTGATCTTTGTAAGTACTTGTTGGCTTGTTTATGACTCCTGAATTGTTTCTTGAATTTATTGGAATTACATTATTATGAGAGTGGTGAGACACTGGCACAGGTTGCCCAGAGAAGTTGTAGCTGCCCCATCCCTGGCAGTGTTCAAGGCCAGGTTGGATGGGGCTTTGAGCAACCTGGTCTAGTGGAAGGGGTCCCTGCCCATGGCAGGGGAATTGGAACTAGATGATCTTTAATGTCGCTCCCAAACTGTCGTGGTTTAAACCCAGTCAGGCAACTCTTTCACTCACTCCCCCCCCTTCTTTCCCTCCCCCTACTCCTGTTCTGTGATTTATGACTTGCAATATTTGTGCATCTCCATTTTTATTCTACTCGTGAGAACTTCAGGTATGGATATTAATAAGTTTTCTCCTCCATTTATGTTAAAAAAGTAGGGTTTTAAAGGAAAGATGTTTATATTTTTAATTAAAGCATTTGCATGCAGTTATGTAATTTAACTTAAATGTGCTGGAAGTTTGTCCTGCTTTTGACTACCAGCTGAACTCTTTTACCATCGTAAGCAAACCCCAGCTATTATCTACCAGCGTTCTGGAAAAGCTCTTACTGAGGGAACAGCGTTTTTTATTTTTTAAAACTTTCTTTTGGGAAAGCAGAAGCTTTTTATGACTCCAGAGCTGCTGGAAATGAGCCAAGACCTGGAAATCGGCAGGTTTCTTGGGGGAGGTTAGGACTTTTCCAGGAAAACAGAATGTACTGGCCTGTGCTAGCATAATTACTATTTAGAGTCTAAAATACAAGAAGATAACAGTGAAGATAAATTCAAGCACTTTAAAATACACTGTTTATGTGGACTGAGTTACACAACTAACACAGTTTTGCCTACGTATGTTTCTAGGGCCAGAAATAATTATCGGTGCCGATTGCTTAGGTGTTTGTGAGTTGAATGTCAAACTAATATTTGGAGTTTATTTTCCTTCCCTCTGCTCCCTGGTTTCTGAAGTTTTCTGAGTTTTTCAGAGGTGCTCTGAACAGTATGACCCTCACGCTGATGGTACACATGTCCTTTTGTTTGATAGAGTTATCACTGTTGTGCAGCTCTCAGAGGAGCACCAGCTGTAAGACAGGAGGAAGATCTGAACCTGCTAAGCAGCCACTCAGGAAACCAAAGTTACCAGTAGGTCGATTTGATGAACCGGAGGAATTCAGTGTAGAGAAGGAACCCTTGGAAAGTAAGTCATGTTTTACAAACCGCAAGGCATGTTTTAAAAGTAGGACCTGAGGTGCAGTGCTGACGTTGGTTTAAGAAGAGGGATAGGCTTGCAGCACACTTCATATTCACTTGCTAAGCTTAATGGCTCTGAAAAAAAGAGGCAGGGCAGTGGGGACAAGCTGCAGTAAATGGTGTATAAAGGAAAAAGTCTTCAGGACAAGGGTGGTAGAGCACTGTGACAAGCCACCGAGAAAAACTATGATCCCTCTCGTTGCTACTCAGCTTTGCCTGGATGCCCTGACCTTTGAGCAAGGCTGGAGCCAGATGTCTGCCAAAGGTGCTTTCCACCATGAACCATGGCATGATTCCAAGTAATGTAGCTGGTATTGGTCTGTTACAGTACAGCTGTAAATTGTGGTGCTAGACTGATGAGGGCACCAGCTACTTTTTGTCATCCAAAAAGCCTGTTCTGTTTCTTAGTCCACAAAAGATTTCTGATTCATGCTGTATTTTATGGACAGCCATTCTCCTAGGTAGTGTTTTGGAAGGCAGAAACAGGTACTGAGTTGATTGAGCCACCAAGAGTGTCAGGGGAGACCTAATGAACTGCTGCTGTTTGTGTTGTGTTCCAGTTAACTTAGTGGGGCTGCGCTTAGAGAACCTGACAAGATTGAAGTACACGTACATTGCTGCTGAAGTCACTGGAGACAATACTCTATTTTCATCAGACAGGAGAAGAAAGAATCTCTTTCTTCCTTGTTTTTAATTAGCCATATTCCCATATTTGTTGGGTTGACCCTGACCCAATGCACCTTAACTAAAAGTGCTGTCATGATTTGTCTTATTCACCACAATCTGATGTTCTGCTGCTGTTTGCCAGGAGTGATAACATGTTTATCTATTTCGAGCCTCTAGGACAAGCTTTTTTAATACATCAGTAGATTACTGTGAATTTCCAGATGACAGAATGACTGAAAAATTATAGTATCATCTCCAAAATAGTTGCAGTTTCAGATTGTGACTCACTACAGAACTGACTCAGAGTTGGAGTTACTGTGCAAGCAGCTATTTAATTTCTTGTCCTTTTATTCCCAAGAAGAAAAATGTTGCCACTGCTTCATTTAAAACAAATGCATAATCATTATATTTTGCTTTTTGCTTTGTTCTAGGTTTAGTACAAGACTCAAGGTTTATTTTGGCTTTAAATTTAGTTGTACCTGTATATTTTCCACATGTAATGCCAGCGATGGTTTGTTATAATGACTTCCCATTGTGTTCTTAGGGAAAAGTGTAAGAGTTTCAGCTGGTGATTTGAATTCCCAGTGCTGTGCAGCTATCATAGAGAAATCTTTTGAGCTTCTGCATCTGCTGTCAGCACATCAGTAGTAGTGCATATTGGTATGATGACATCTAAAAATATTGTTGAATGCATTTGCAGTTCTTGTACTGCCAGAGGAGCTCACACACTGACATTTCCTGTCCTGGTCCACATGAATTTTTAAACAGGCACCCCAGTATATCATTCTGTACAGCCTGTAGCTACATGAGTTTCCCTTCATCACTGTCCTTTTTCTCTGCTCTCTAGGATTTCTGCTGTTTTTTCTCATTTTCAACTGTGCTTCTCATTACTTGTGTTGCCCACGAGGACTGAGTGAGGGATACAGCTGAGGGAGCCCCAAGTTAGGCATGTGTACAGGAGGGTCTGGGGAATCAGTGGGCCAGGGAGGTTGTGGGATACAGAAGCTTTGGGGAGCCCTGCCGTCTAATGCAGAGTGAGAAAACACTCAGCCTAGGATGGTGCTGTGCTAGAAACTACTGCATGGCTTGGTGATGCCTAGTGGGATGGCCACTGTGCAGCGCAGGTGTCGTGAATTTACTACTCTTAAGAGAGAGCCCTGAGTAAAGGAGCACTGAGTAGCATAAGGATATTGAATGTGAGGTGTCCATGGTGCTGGAGTAGGTGGCATGAGCTAGGAGGGTACTGGGAATAGAAGCAGCACTGCTCATATGCAAGCTTAGCATACCAGAGAGATCTGAGAGCCCCATTCATACCCCACTTACAAAGAGTCACCCTCTCCTGAACGCGCATCAGAGGAACTTATGGAACTTGAGCTGCGTTTTAGAAGGTAAAAAGTCTAATTTTAGCCATTTAGGATTTCATAGTGCCTCCTGTGAGTGAGGTGTCTAGTCTGGTGGTGATGAACAAATTGACAACTGTGAAAATACAGTGCTTTAACGACAAGAATAATAAAATCTTGACTAAAATTCAAACTAAAAATAACGGAGTGCTTAAAATTAGGACCTAAGCAAACACAGAAAGTGAGCTGGTGTTTGGATGTAGTGAGCATAGGTACAGTGTACCTGAAGGGCATGAGTTCTCTCTAGCAGTTAATAAGAAACTGTGGTGCTTCAGTGCCTTTGGACAGTGAGTTGGTTTTTATTTGCATAGCTGACTATGATCACATGTATTGCTGACTGGAGTCAAAAAACTCTTTGACATTACTTTTATATGACTTGGAAATGTTTAACTCAGGATTGCCTTTAAAACAAGAGAATTTATTTTGTATTTGAAAATGAAAAAGAGAAGGCAAACATTGTAGATGATGGCATTTTATATTTGTCAACATTATAGGTGTTTTAACAAACTTCCCCTGTCGTTTTAGAATTCCCTGATGGAATCAATCCTGTCACAAAAGAGAGAGGTGGACCGAAAGGCCCTGAACCTACACGTTTTGGAGACTGGGAGCGAAAAGGACGTTGTATAGATTTTTAATGTATAAATGTGTCTGTATAGCTAATAAAACATTTCTAGTTGTTGAAAAATATAATGTACAGAAAAATCCTACCTGGGTTTATTGTGAAGCGGCTTGTTTCTGTCATGTTTGTGATGAATTTTCTGAGAGGTGTTATGTAAATAAACATGATGGTGCAACTCAAATCTTGCAGCCATTATTTGCTCAAGGTACACCTGATCTTTAATGCTGTTTATTTACATTATGCAGATGTAAATAGTGATGTGAAATCGTTACTCGGGAGCGGACTGAGGTGTCTAAGGGCTAGGATTTCTTTATGTATTTCAACATCTACATAATGTCTCAAAAGTGCTGGCAGAGTTTTGCAGTTCGTGACTTTAGGTGCTGTGTATCAGAAGTTCAGCCACTTCCAAAGAGATCAGAATGTGGTTGATCTCAGCCTTTTGCACAGTGGTTCATTGCTAAAAGTGACCTTAGGCAAGAACTGTCCCCTCTGTCTCTGTGAGAACAAGTTGGGGTTCCTCTTGTTTGTGGAGAGGGGATGGAAATTTGGTTTTATCTCATCTGACTGATGGCTGTGAATGGCAGGATAGAAATGGAGGCTTAATTCTGAGAGGATCAGCTTCTGATGTTGAGTAGTGTAGGGGTGCTCTGTGCTGGTTTAAAGTACAGTGGCTTTTTGTCAGTGCTATTTGCAGTATCTTTCCCTTGATGAATGGAGATGCCAGCTTGAAAACGGGCTGAATACTGCTTGGGGAAGGATACCATTGCTTTCTGACACCGCCTGGTCAAAGAGGACTGAATACATTAGAAGGTCTGATATCGCAGGTCTTAAAACTAAGTTACCTGGCATTGAGCTAAGTATCTTTCAGTCATTCTGTGATCAGTTCTTAAATCAAGACTTTGCCCAGTTGAAAGTAGTGTAGCAGAGTGCAAATTTTCCACTTGTGTGGGTACTTACTAATATGATCAAGCTGTCATTATTAAAATGTGTGAACATACGCCCAATTTGTTTCTGTGCTAGTTCTTTTTGATAGCCTAAACAAATGGATCTTCTCCAGTCTTTAGCTGTAAATGTTTTCTTCATCCCTTTGTCTTTCCTTCCTAGTGTTTTGCAGATTTTTCAACCTCTTTTACTGTACATGCTCCAGCTGATATATTCACAGTTCCATTAGCTGGTTTTGCCACAGTACCACAGTAGGCATTAAAGCTGCATATGTTTCCTGGAGAGCACAGGACCACTTCCCGTTCTATGACCCATGTTTTTTTTCCCTGTACATTTTTGCCTTTTTCTGTGCCAAAGCAAGTTGTGTCTGAATTGAAAGACAGCTTTACTTCATGGTGTTTGCTGTTCTGCGTTGCTCTGGCTATGTGTAGGCAGGCATGGTTTTGTTCTGCTTTGCCTTTTGCATTATTTTATTAGAGCATTAGGGTATGTTAGTCCTATCACAAATGTGTACAAACTCCCTAGAACTTGCTCAACTTGCAGCCAGTGGGGGAGCTCCCCACTAAAATCTACCTTGTTTGTATACCTGATATGTGTTTTATCAACATAGTATTGTCCTAGTTGAGAGTCAAGATGTTTGTCTCACTGCAGTGATGCCCTACTAAAGTATTAAGACTGTTCAGTAAGGTTTATCAACCAAGTACCTCGCTGAAGAGCAAAATGAGGTTTACTAAAGCCTGTTTTTCAAATGAGATAGTAACTGGTGCTAATTACATTTTGAACCTTTAATCTTCTACAAATTTAAATTCTGCAGCATGGTTTGGATGGTGTGTTTATTTGACCAGAGTTGGTCTGTTTTCCTGCCAAAGCCATTTTAGTTCCTCTTTGGTAGTGTGATAGTTACAGTTTCCCAAAATCTGTTGACATTTTCAGTTACCTTAGCATGTGCTGGGTCGGCTGTCTTTAAACCTTAATATATACAGTTCATTAAAATACTTGTAGTAATGCTTTGCCTGTTCACTTGCTGGTGGGTTGGAAAATGCTTCATCACACAATGTGCCATGTTTTCAAACAGGAAGCAGAACTTTTAATTGGAAACTTCTGCCTTTTCTGCATCATTATTAACAGGCAGAACATCTTAACTGGGGAAGAGGCAGTAATGCTAACACAGCTGTGGTATTTTTGAATTCTGAATCTTACTCTCCTCATCTATGGATGGTTGCATGAGTTCTTGCCAGGTTCTCACCTTCCAAGCACACACTGTGAACCTTTACCTACCTCAACTTCCTCGCATTCCTGGTTTTCAATTCTAGTTTCTTCCTTCAGCACAGACAGCAGCTGCAGAATTGCACCTGTTTGAATTAGCACATAAAGGACCAGCCTCGCTTTTCCATGCTTTCCTTTATGTTCCAGTTAGTTCCCTCCCATCTCCACCTGCTTTGTGATTAAGGAAAGACCTGAGTGCCGTTCAGGCCCTTCCATATCTGCAGATGCCTGCCTCTCAGCACTCCTGGCCCACCCTCCCATCTGAGGAGGACGTGGGATTTGGAAGTTACTTCTCAGTGCTGTCCATACCAACAAGAGTGCCTCAGAAAGGCAGGGGTCTTGCTTTCTTTCTCAGAATAAGAAGGCCCTTGCTGTCAGTGTTGTGAATAGCTGTCAGGGAGTTTGTGCTCAGGAGATGGAGGATACTGCTTCAGTCTTGAGGAGCTTCAGGCCCTCCTCCCTGGCCAGTGCCAGTAACCACCAAGTATTTGTTTCATTTGTTTAGGGAATGTGTCAGGGAGAGATAAGGAACTGAGCTTTTGGGCAAAATAACACGTAACCACCAAAGAGGGGAAGCCAGGCCTTTCTATGTGCTCTGTCAGTCCAGCATTACCAAACAGAGCAGCCCTAGGCTCTGGTCATGATTAAGTCTAAAATAACATCTCACAAAATCACTTGTCCTACCTGTCAAAGCCAGTCATGGTTTGAAGGTTTGAATGCAACAGCCAACAGGAGGATATTTTACATAGGGCATAAACAGTTGTTGCTGCAGCGTCTGCCACTGCAAAAGCACTCCAGCATGTTTTAAGTGCTGCCTTCCTCCTCTTCCCAGGTGATTAATGTTAGTGATTCAGTGGGATACAGCATTAGGGTACGGCAATGGCTTGTGGCACTAGCCATTAGATTGGCCATAGCTATGTTTTTATCATAAACACTGATTGAATCTATTTTTGTAGCTCTCTGTTGGTATAAACAGTGCAAAGCAGCAGGGGTTGTATCCGCTTGCTGTTAGATTTCTGGGAGACAAAGGAAAGTTGTTCTGCCAGCATGAGCAGACTCTGGGAGTACTGGAGGATGCTTTTGCTGCTCCCTTCTGGTTTCTTTACTGAAAGCTGCATTTCTGCAGGAGGTTTTCTCTTTTAAAGTTTAACTTGTTTCTGCTAGTTTGCATAGATACATCAGGCACATTATTAAAATGACAAAGCCTTTATTGTTTGAAGGAATTGCTCTGTGATTACCTTATTACAAAATACATAAAGTTACACTCTACAGGTTAATGTTTGCTTTATATTGCCTTGTTTGGAAAGTACGTATTTCAGTGCTGATTTTACTGAGTTATAGCACAGGGTTTATTGTCTAGTGAATCAGTAAAATTACCCTTTATGGCAGCAGATGTTTGTAAAGAACTGTAGAATGTTGTTATAAAACTTTACTGCTTTTTCAGTTGACTGCAAGAAATGATCACAGATTTGAGCGATCTGTGGTGATGGCTGTTACATGCCTTGTCATGACACAGGGTTTGGTATAGTCATTTAAAAAGGACCACAGCAGTTTGTTCTGTAGTGTCAGGAAAATAGCAAACCTGTATTAATTCGTAAGAGAGGAGGATTTGGAAGTCCTGTGGGTTTTGTCATTGTTCATTAGTCACTAACATTGCATCAAACATATCAAAGCGTAAGGAAATGATTTGAGGTGTGTTTCTGTGTGCTAATGGTGATCAAAACCATTAAAACTCGTGGCTGCTTTCATGCTGTTGTAACATGCAATATGACAATACCTCTGTGTAGCTGGTAGTTGGTGTTTCATGTCAGATCAGCTGAGATATGCAGTCTATATTGTAATGTGGGCATGGCATCTCTCACTCTTACATTGTGGTAGTGTGTAAGCTTCCCAAGGACTTCTGCTGCAGAAAGGGTGGCACAGTAGAAACTGGATCATCATTATAAAATCAGGTTTTGGCAAATCCTGAGAAAAGATCTCTAAAACAACTGCTGTGAAGAGCAGAACTAAAGAAGTCTTGTTGCTTGTGAATGTCCTACATCTCCTGTAGCTCCAGTGTCTTCCTCCATGTATCCCTGTTGATTGACATTGTCCCCACCAGGCAGGAGCATCTTTCTGCCTGTCCTTCCCTGCCTGGGGCATTACTTGTTCCTCATTCCCAGCTATGGTAACTTAATTACCTTGGAAACTACTCTCTTCTTGACACCTTTTCAGAACAGTTGAAATTACTGGCTTCTGGAATCATGGGGCAGTGCAGATATTGGCTTCCCATCCTCTGGAAACCAAGCTGATGAAAAACTTTGACCATATGTATTTTCTTCAGAAATATTCAGCATCTCTCTGCATTCTTCTACTGCGAGCAGAGCTTTTTTTTTCCCTTCAGAGAACATCCAGAATGCCAGTTAAAGCTTAGAGCAGTAAGACTTTGACATCATTTTCCAGGTATTAAATCTCCCAGTCAGCTGTGGTCTCCGGCCTGTAAAATACCACATATTTTAGTGTTGCCATTTCTAGGATGGGAGTGTTCAAATAAGTTCTTTAAGGTCCCTACTTAACAAATAACTTTGTAATAAACTGACATACCTGGCCATCAAAACACCATTATAATTTTCAAATGTTAGTCTCCGACAGAATTAGGTGAGCTATGAAGTGAACTGGTGTTCAGGTTAATTCTAATAATGAGCTCTTGTTTATACTGGGACTCTCTCCTAATCAGCTCTTTTAAACCGAAGTGACTTATGTAGCCATCTGTGCTTGCTTCATAATTAGTTGCAGTGGAGCCTCTGCAGAGTAGTCCATCTTAACACAGGGAGATGAATTCTTCATTACAGATGGTGGATGTGAGGAAGTTTTAAGTGCATCCCCTCCGTTAAACTTCAGAGGCTGCCTAAACAGCTGTCCTAAGCAAGATGCCATTGGAGAGCTGTCAGCTTTGTGGTGGGGACAGCAGAGAAACTGGGGTGTTCGTGACTC